ACGCTGCTTCTGTTCCCTCCCTGCAGCTGCGCGAGTGAGCCCTGCGGCCCGCTGCCCGGAGAATTCACGAAGACTTTTTCGTTTTCTGGATGTATGCAAATCACTTTTTCTTCTCTTAACTTCTGAGATACAGCTGTGAAAGGGAAGGCAGAGCTTCGTAGATAGGCTTTTGTAGACTAGCACAGCAGAGACGGTAGTGCGAGCTGCGTGCCAGCTCTGCCAGGACCTGTAAGGAGTAGTGCTTGCCCCATCTCATGTTACAATAGTGTGGGTTTTGTTTTTTGTTTTGTTTTTTTTCCCCCTTAGCAGTAGCAGACTTTAGGCAGACCCTGGCTTGTCTCTCCGGGGAAATGCTGTGGGCACAGAGCCTTCCCCCTCAGTATTTTTTTTTTTTTTTCTAAGCAGCTGTAGCATTTTGCTTTAGTTCCTCCCTTCCCAGCCCTGCTCCCGGTGCTGCAGCTGAGCCATGCTGAGTGTTAGTTGCTCCCAGGAAGGCCTCAGGCTGTAGCGTGGGTGGTTGATCAGCACAGATCACCAAGGCAGGGGGAGGGAATCGGGTCTGTCCTAGAGGGGAGCTGGCAGCAAGAGGAAACAACCCTAAAGGGGGTAGGGGTGTTCGGCCAGGTAAAGATGCTTCAGTATCAATCACCATAAACCCGAGCTTGCTTGGAAAATAAAACTGAATGAGAAATTGTAAAGAAAAGGGCAGGGGTAGGGACAGGGCGAATTCAGGGAACACAACTTGAATATGCTTCAGGAAAAGTGTTTAGCTTTAGAATATCTTGCTATAAAGAAGGTACCAGCCTTGGGTGAGGAAGAATACCTGGCATCTCTTACGCGTGTACTGCAATCGCATCTCAGGTTCAAAAAACTTGAACTCAGGTTGTTCGATATGTACTTGCAATCACACACAAGGTGGCAAAGGCTACACCTGTGATCCAGCTGCCTCAGAAGTTCTGAAATGATGTAAATAGTCTGTGGTTTTTAACTTAAATAAAATTGTCAGTTCTCATGGCAATACAGCTCTTAAGAATTTCAATTTCCACCTGGATCTCTTTTTTGGTAGCATTGTTTTTTTGTGCAAGTTCTCATGGCATTCCTCTAATTTACTGCTGCTTATGATGCAGCTGGCAGCAACAGAGACACTCTGGTCCTGGCCTTGTGCCTTGCATAAGCAAATCTTGTGTAAGTAAGTAAAACCTTTTTTTTTTTTTTTTTTTTTTTTTTTTGTGTGTGTGTGTGTGTGTGTGTCTGCACTAGAACAGGGCGGGTGGAAAAAAAAAGCCCAGAAGTAGTCTACACATTGTTTTTGAAAACTGTACCATTTATTAAAGTGCAACCTGGGGGCATGGTCTTACAGCAGTGTCCCATTAGCAGGGGGGAAAAATGCACATACCCCTTCACTTCAAGGAATATAGAACAATGAAGCTGGAAAGAACTTTCTTTTAAAGGTGGAAACACTTTTGTTAACCAAATGGCACAAGAAGCTTTAGATGGGTTTTCCCCAAGAGGGCTGCACTTGCATATTAAAAGGAACAACAGGGCCAGTTCCTTGGACAGTGGGTGACTCGAGGACCAGTCAGGGTCTCTGCCCCCAGGCAGGCCTCTGGAGAACAGAATCTGAAGTCCCTGCAAGTCTGTCCCTGTCTGCTGACACCCAGCAGCAGCCTGGTAGAAGATATCCCCTAACATGGGTGCTTCGGAGTCAGTCCCATTAGTCTTTGCTGCTGAACAAATCAAGTGCCATTCTTTTGGTCTGAGGGGGTTTATTAGCTTTACACTTGAATAAAAGCTTATAATGCAAGTTAAAAATGGGGAGAGACCCCCTAAAGGTACAGCAGTGAGACGCATCCTCTGCAGCTTGTTCTGTCCGAACCAACAGCGTTCCTTCCCTCCCCTGCAGATGCTGCAAGGAGATCAACGGCAGCTTCCACTGGAAGCTAACTCTAGCTCCCCCACTGCTACAGCGTAACCATAGACCTCTAGCTAGGAGGAAGCAAGGCAGCCTACCTAAGAGACCGAGAGAGGGTCAGCTCGAAGTAGGGAAAAAAAGTGACGGCGTTATTTAACCGAAGGAGGTGGATCTGAGCGATGTGGTGCGGAGGTTCCCCCGGACGCCCTGGTGACACGAGAGCTGACCCCTTCCAAGCTGGCGCAGCTCTCGCTCCCCAGCCAAGGGCGCCAGCCAGCAGAGTTCAGAGTCACGGCAGCAGGCGCCAAGGCCGCAGGGCTGCCTAGCCTTAGCCCCGCCGTCCCTGTGGGCCTGAGCGGGCTCTACCAGAGGCAAGTAGTGGTGGCTTAAACCTTATAAACCCCTCCCTTTTTTTTTTCTATGGCGGTACAGAGCTTGCACTTTGAAGCACAGATGCATACGTGGAGTCAAAGCAATACTGTTCTCGTAACCTTCCTCATGCTGAAATTAAGCAGCTCGCATAAAGTCATGCACAGCTTCTGCCTTCCATAGGTACAGGCGATAACGTGCCCCGCCTCGCCGTGTTTCTCTGGGAAACACTTTCCCCTGTTGTGTAACCTACTAGAGCAGACACTGCGCCTACTCTGTGTGCCTGCTCCTCTTGGAGCAGACCCGTACGGATGAGCTGACCTTCAGTACGTTTCATGCCTGGAATGAGACATTCTGCTGAAGACCTGGGCGCTGCCTCGGCATGGCAGCTGGGGCTGTGCTCACCCCTCCACCCCCCCATTTCACAGCAAAATAATCTAGTAATTACACTCCGGAACTCCGTAGCATGAGCTTGCTCTGGTTGAGTGAATGCGAGACTATGCTGCCAGAAGCACTTCTAGTTTTTTGCCAGAACAGCGACATCTACCTTAGCAGGGCTTTGCTAGTACGGCTGTATCGCTGTAGCTGAAACTGAATGTAGGGAAGGCTTATGACCGCGGATTATCTGGTCTACTACAATCGTTAAAATGAAAAAAGACCAAACTCCAGAACCTCGCTTGTTTAGTACCAGTGAAATTTTTCATTTGTGACCATTAGAAAGCATTAATCAGTTTAAAAATACAGTCCAGAGTGTTAGCCTAGCTGTGATCAGAACTACGTGAATAGGGAAGGAAGCAGGATTCTGGCAACAGAACCTTCCCCAGGCAGGAGCACGCTGCGCCACAGCTTTCAGCCATCCCTCCAGCTGCAGATGCCCGAGCACAGCCCCCAGCCAGGATGAAAACAAAAAATCAAGCCCTCACCAACAGCAAGGCTGGATTCTTGTAGCAGTAATTTGCTCTCTAGAAGGCAGGTGAGGAAAGAACTGGCCAGCTGCAAACACCACAACAGGCACTTCACCTCCAGCCAGAAGTTAAAGTCGTGTCCAAACGCAGGTGCAATGAACACTAACCAGAGCACGTGCTTCCACTGCGTCGTCCGGCTCTGTGCTAGGAGCTTCTCTTCAGACTGGTGCATACCTGGAGCAGGCAGCTGCTTAACGAGTCACATCTGAATGGACAGAACGCTGCAGAAATGTCTTGTCTCTAGCTTGTTTCATTGGGCCAGACCTAGTATTTTAGAGCTATTTTCAGTATTTTTCAGCAGTCAAATTATCGTCCTGAGAACCCTTACTCAGCATCCACCTAACCCGACAGGAACCAAAAGCTTAAGTTTTCAAGCTGCCGCTCTGTGCGTGCCCAGTAATATTCCGATTTTGCCCTAGCGGAGCAGCTCGGCACTGCTGTGCCAACGGCAGCCCAACAGCCTCCATCTTCCGAAGTTTAAGGGACTCGGGAGGCAGGAGTCCACCAGGCTCTCGCAAAGCGCACGGCTGCAGCAGGCAGGGACGTGGCGCCTGTTGTTCCACAAACGCTGGCTGAAGAAAGACCTTGCCCAGCTCCCAGCCACAGCGCCCAAGTGAGCAGGGTTAAGCACAACTGAAATTTAACTTGCACCTAATCTTGAAAGCCTTTTCCTTGCCAGCTCCTTGTTTAGCATGCTACCCACGGCAGCTCCTTAAGTACTGAACACTTTTTTTGTAGATCCAGTCCTCTGCTGTTTTAGCATCTCAG